TTTTTTTTTTATTTTTATTTTTTTTCAACGTTTATTTATTTTTTGGGACAGAGAGAGACAGAGCATGAATGGGGGAGGGGCAGAGAGAGAGGGAGACACAGAATCAGAAACAGGCTCCAGGCTCTGAGCCATCAGCCCAGAGCCTGACGCGGGGCTCGAACTCACGGACCGTGAGATCGTGACCTGGCTGAAGTCGGACGCTTAACCGACTGCGCCACCCAGGCGCCCCTGCATGTTTTTAAAAAGTTCCCATGTGATTATGACAAACCACCTTAGCCAATAGCAACTTTTTCTAGATTTCATTTTATGTGAATACACATTTATATTTTATACTATTTGTGTAAAATATCCTCTATAGATAGTTTTATAACTTGCTTTTGCTTTACCAGTGTGTAAGTCAGTCCATTTCAGATAGCTCTGTTGTTACTTTACTGACTATATATTCTATTGTGTATACAGTAGTTTATTTAAGCATAATAGTTATTAAGCAGTATATTTGAAATTAAATTCTAATTCATATGCTATTTAGATATAGGGAATGAAAGCCAGATATAATAAATTAGGCAATAATAATAATGAACTAAAGTTAAATGGCTTACTGTAAAAGTACTCAAGCATGTTTAATGCTACAACTAAACCTACTGGGGGAGCAGATTAAGTATATCAGTAACATTTAGTGATTTTGTTTTTTAAAGCCTTTTGATATTTAAGAGCAACATCTTTCATACCCATTCTGATAGTGGGTCAGAAATGCAGGTCATGATAATGTGATAATCTATAAATCTGTAATCCAGGTTTACAAAATATCTGTGGATATTATAACACTTTTTATAGTGTGAGCAAGTTATCTGTTACTGTATAAGTTCTGTATTTCAAAATTGTTACGGTTTACTTTCCAAATTAAATTTTAGTCAATGTAACTAGTCTTCTCTATCAGATCATTTTACCATAGGGGTAGTAACTAAGGTACACAATTTATAACTCATTTCACCGTGAGGTAGAGTTCTTTCTCCTAAACTACCAAAACTACCAAAATCATCCAAAACAAATGCAAAAAGGAAGAAATTTTTTGATTAATTTATAAATTGGTTAGTGAGCTAATGATTAACTTTTTTGTGGAGATGAGTTACAAGAACTTTCATTACGTCTGTTCATTGGTAAGGATCTAGAAGAACCATTTCTACAGATCATTTGAGATCAAAACTAATACAGTTTTCTGCACAAACAGATGCTTAATCTTGATGAAGAAAGTTGAACTTTTTTCATGTATTTGTTTTTTTAAGATTTTATTTCTTGGGGTGCCTGGGTGGCTCAGTCGACTAAGTGTCTGACTTCAGCTCAGGTCATGATCTCACGACCTGTGGGGTTGAGCCCTGTGTCAGCCCTGTGTCAGGCTCTGTGCTGACAGCTCAGAGCCTGGAACCTACTCAGGATTCAGTGTGTCTCTATTTTTCTGCCCCTCCCCTCCTCTCAAAAATAAACAAACATTAAAAAAAAAAAAAAGTTCTTTGTGTTGGCAATAGTAATTCTTATTTTTTTCTTTTTTAATGGTTGTAGATGTGAGTATGCAGTGCTCACAGGATATACTTCGAATGCTCCTATCTCTTCAGCCAGTTCTTCAGGATGCTATTCAGAAAAAAAGAACAGTAAGGCCTTGGGGAGTTCAAGGTCCTCTTACTTGGCAACAATTTCATAAAATGGCTGGCCGAGGCTCTTATGGTAAGTAATTTATAGTAATGTGTATTGACTGGTTTTATTTTAGTCCTCCATTTTTGTGCCTAACTTAGAATAAGCACATTCGTCTTTTTAAAATATTTTTGTAGCATTTGCTTGGCTTAATGCCAGTGTGGTCAGTCCTAACCTTTGTTTGAACATTTCCAACATTCAGTTTACTGGGTTCTCCAACCCCTCTTCAGAAAGAACAGCCTCACCTAGATCTATTTATACAGGCTAGACTGACCAGTGAGATTTTATGAAATCTAAGATTTTTGAAAGAAAGAATCATACTGCCAAAATTTTTTAAAATGAACATTGCTTTCGTTGCAAATTATCATTTTACAAAATTGAATGAAAAATCGGGCAAATGGAGGGGATAATAGTAGTGATAAAAGACCCCGAGTTCTTCATTTGCACAAAAGGGGGGAAACGAGAAGAAATTTGCTGGTTGTAGGAGTAGCAAAGGAATACTCAATGTGGTACACAGTTAGAGGCACCTGGCTGGCTCAATAGGTGAAGCATGTGGCTCTTGATCTCGGGGTGTGAGTTCAGGTCCCACATTGGGTATAGAGATTACTTAAAAATCTTTAAAAAACATATACATATATATGTGTATATGTATATGGTACACAGTAGATTTATGGTCATCTGTAAAGAAAGAACGTTCAAAATACTTGAATTATTGGGGTGCCTGGGTGCTTCATTTGGTTAAGCGTCCTACTCTTGGTTTTGGGTCAGGTCATGATCTTGCAGTTTCGTGAGTTTGAGCCCCACGTCAGGCTCTACGCTGTCCGCTCGAAGCCTGCTTGGCATTCTCTCCTTCTCTCTCTCTCTCTCTCTCTCTCTCTCTCTCTCTCCTCCTCCTCCTCCTCCTCCTCCTCCTCCTCCCCGACTTGCATGGTCTCTGTCTCTCTCCCAAAATAAATAAATAAACTTAAAAAAAAAATACTTGAACTATCTATTGAAGATTGTCTCTGAAAGGTGGGAGTAATTGGAGCTTTTAAAATATATTTGGAGGCACCTGGGTGCCTCAGTTAAGTGTCCCAACTGTTGATTTCGGCTCAGGTCATGATCTCATGGTTGGTGGGATCAAGTGCCACATTGGACTCTGGACTGAGTGTGGAGCCTGCTTGGGATATTCTCTCCCTGTCTCTCTCTGGCTCTCTCTCTCTGGCTCGCTCTCTCTCGCTCTCTCTGCTCCTCCTTTGTTTACGCACGCTCTCTCTCTCTCTGTCTCTGTCTCAAAATAAAATTTAAAACTGAGGCTAATGTTAGTATCTGCCTCATGGTTTTTGTGTGGATTAAAAGAGTTAATATATGTAAAAGATCTTTGAACAGTATCTAGCACATAGTAAATGTTATAACTGTTCACCATTTTAATTTGCCTTCTCTTAATGCGATTGAGATCTTTTTATGTATATTTGTTTCTGTGGATTTTGTTCATATTCTTTACCCATTTTTCTGTTAGCTTGTTGATCATTTCTTAGGGATTTATAAGTCCCCTTTATATGGTAAGGAAATGAACCTTTTGTCATATGTATTGCACATCTTTTTTCCAATTCATTGTTTAATCATTTGGCTTTTGTATAATGCGTTTTGTGCCAAATTTTAAAATTTATGTAGTTATAATAATTAACTCTTTTTAAAAAATGTTTATTTATTTATTTTGAGAGAGAGAGAGAGAGGGAGGGAGGGAGGGAGGGAGGGAGGGAGGGAATGAATCCCAAGCAGGCTTCGTGCTGTCAGCACAGAGCCTGATGTGTGGCTCATCCCATGACAATGAGATTATGACCTGAGCTGAAATCAAGAGTCAGACGTTTAATCAACTGAGCCACCGAGGCTCCCCAGATTAATCAACTTTTAAATGGACAGGTTTTTATGTTATGCTTAGAAGGGCTTTCCCCAGTCCAAATTTATAAAAAATAAAACTCCTCTTCCATGTTTTCTTTTGTACTTCTTTTTTCATTCTAAATTAATTTTTTTACACTTATTTTTTTTAAGTTTATTTGTTTTTGAGAGAGAGTGTGTGAGCTTTAGTGGGGGAGGGGCAGAGAGAAGGAGGGAGGACAGGATCTGAATAGGGCTCTGTACTGACAGCAGAGATCCCGATGTGCGGCTCAAACGTGAACCAGCAGATCTTGACCTGAGCTGAAGTCAGAAGCTCAACCAACTGAGTCACCCAGGTGCTCCAATGGATTTACATTTAAATGAGGTATAAATCATAATGTTTTATAAAGATCATTTAGCAAATGCCTAACTGTGGACACGTCTCAGTCATTGGCTTTACGTGTTTTTGTCTTTAATTACTTCTAATAATGACTCCAGTAATTTTGACATTTAAATAAAAAAGACAGAGGCACCTGGGTGTCTTACTTGAGCATCCGACTTCAGCTCAGGTCATGATCTCACAGTTCGTGAGTTCAAGTCCTACATTGGGCTCGCTGCTGTCAGCACAGAGCCCACTTCAGATCCTCTGTCCCCATCTCTCTCTTCCCCTCCCCCACCTGCACACATGCTCATGTGCTCTCTCTCTCTCTCTCTCTCAGTCTCAAAAATGAATAAACATTAAAAAAAAAAAAAAGACATGTAACTGCTGTAAAATGTTTTCTTAAAATCTGATTTTCTTATTTAGGAACTGATGAATCCCCAGAACCACTGCCAATCCCTACGTTTTTGTTGGGTTATGATTATGATTTTCTGGTGCTTTCTCCATTTGCACTCCCTTATTGGGAGAGACTTATGCTGGAACCCTATGGATCTCAAAGAGATATAGCCTATGTTGTACTATGTCCAGAAAATGAAGCCTTGTTAAATGGAGCCAAAAGCTTTTTTAGAGACCTCACTGCAATATATGAGGTAGGTGTTTAAAAAGAGGTAGCATTTTAAGACTATAATTTGTATGTTTATATATGAAATATACTGGGCAGTTCAGTTGATTGTACAGAATAATAATGATGTGAGACTAGTTGTGTAGTTCTCATACTAGCCAGTTATATTCTTCACGGCATTAGACCGGGACCCTTTGTTGGATATGTGTGCCATGTGTCACAGTAGAAATTGCTGTATTGGGGAAAAACCTTCAAGGGCATATATGTACCTTTTATGATCATCTTTTTTCTGAAACAAAGGGTAGTATTAAATAGCCAGGAAAAAATTACATTTATGAAAATTCTAGTCCTGATTCTCTAGGACCTCAGGTACTGACACTAGGCCTCACTTTCATAAAATAAAGCTGTGCCAGATTTCTCTATGATCATTATTTTTTTTTGAAATTCTTGACTGATCTTCTTAAAGTTATAATTCTCATGTTGTAGCCATCATGAGTGCAGTGATTACAAATTTTAAGTGGTACCGGACATAAAGCCTTACTTGATTATACCTTTCTTTTCCTACAAATGTTGGAAATCCAGTCCTTAAAATTTAATTTGACAATCTGAATTGTTAGTTTGTGTTAGTTTAGTTCCTTATAAATGTTCCATTTAATTGCAAGTCATCTGTCGTGTGTTTGGGAAATAATTATTTCCCAAAGAGTGTTACTTGTTCTGCAAAGTCTCTCCAGACAAAAGTTCCATGATTAAATAGCTCTGGGGAAACATGCTTTATATTACTTTTTTAGAGATTCACTATTCATATTAGATTATTAAAGCCTTTGAAAGTCTTAAGAGTAAAGAAATCCTCTCTATATTTTCTTAATTTAGTATTACAAACTTATTTGATATTGGGCTTCTTGTAATAGACATCAGTGGCCCATAGAATTGGAGGGAGAGCTGGCAAATTCATAATGTATATACAGTTTTTATTTTGATTTGACTGGGATATATGTGCATTTTTATGCTCAGTTATATCTGTATTCTGCAAGTTTTCATTCTTCAAACTATGGTTCTTGTGCCATTCTTATCTAGGTGTTTTGTTTCATTGGAGATAGTTTAATTTGGATTTCTCATGTGAAAGAGAAAAAGATGTACCATTTCACTCTTGATATTTTTATTCCAAATGTTAATTATAAATTATAAAGCTTACTTTAAATAACTTAAATGCTTGGGGCTCCTAGCTAGCTCAGTTGTTAGAGCATGTGGCTCTTGATCTTGGGCTTGTGAGTTGGAGCCCCATGTTGGGTGTAGAGATTACATAAAAATAAATGAATAAATAATTATTTAAAATATGTAAGAGATATTTTAAAAAATAAGTAAAAATAAATTAAATGCTTTATTTTATAACGTGTGCTCAAATACTATAGTAAATTCACTGATTCTGTTTTCTTTATGTATATCTCTAGTCCTGTCGACTAGGTCAGCATAGACCTATTTCTCGACTGTTGACAGATGGGATCATGAGAGTTGGATCTACTGCATCAAAGAAACTATCAGAAAAGTTGGTAGCAGAATGGTTCTCTCAGGCAGCTGATGGTAACAATGAAGCATTTTCTAAACTCAAGCTTTATGCACAAGTCTGCAGATATGACTTAGGTATTAAATTTGCATTTATTTTATAAGATCAGTGGTAGCAAAGTGTAGCTTTAGTGTATTAGCTGTTTTTGTAAATAAAATTTTATTGGAACCCAGCCATGCTCATTTACATATTGTTTGGCTGCTTTTGTGCTATAACATCAGAGCTGAATAGTTGTGACAGAGACTGTGAGACCCACAAAACCCAAAATATTTACTGTCTGACCCTTTGCAGAGAAAGTTTGCTGATTCCCAAAATAGGGATTCTATCAGGTAAGAAGAAATTGAGGGTATAAACAATTTCCTTTGCTTCTTTTGGATCTGATGAATTTGTGTTTTTATTTAAGCTTATTAACATTAAGATTTATTATTGGTTTAGAGATAAAATGACTTGTTGTTACCTCTACAACACCAAGAAACAGTTCTTTGTTGGAACTAAGAAAATGACATCTATTTAAGACTGCTTTTAACACCCTTGAATTAACATTGAATTAAATATCAATGGACTTACTTTAGACTTAATCCAAGGAAACACAGAACCAAAATATTGACCCTCATTAGACATCCTGATAATATGAATCCCATAATAACATTTTCTATTTTATTTATATCTAGTTAGCTCCCAATTCACTCAATATTAGGAACCCTTTGAATGGTTTGATGAAAATTTGCTCGATATTATTTTCATCTAATTAATTATGCCTAGTAAATATAATTTTGTTATACTTTCATAGGAACCATTCCTTTATTTTGTATGAAAATGCTGGCTTTTTCAATTCCATTTAAAATTTGTTTCTTCAGTTTCTGGGGGGAAATAAAAAGCTTATATCTGCTACACTGCTAGCAAGTAACTAAGGGAGGGTGATTTAAAAAAGCATCAACTAGATAATTATTCACATAGTAGAATAAAAAAAGAACCAATCAGTAAAATAAAGAATTAAATATACTGCCTGTTTTTATTATCTTTAGGTCCTTATCTTGCTTCCCAGCCTTTGGACAGCTCTCTACTCTCCCAGCCAAATTTAGTTGCCCCTACAAGTCAATCTTTGATTACTCCACCTCAGATGACAAATACTGGAAATGCTAATACTCCATCTGCCACCCTAGCATCTGCAGCAAGTAGCACTATGACAATGACTTCAGGTGTTGCCATGTCTTCTTCAGTTGCCACAGCTAATTCAACTTTGACCACAACTTCAACTTCATCTTCATCATCCTCCAACTTGAGTAGTGGAGTACCATCAAATAAACTACCCTCATTTCCACCCTTTGGCAGTATGAACAGTAGTGCTACAGGATCCATGTCTACACAAGCGAGTACAGTTCAGAATGGCCAGCTAGGAGGGCAACAGTCATCAGCTCTACAAACAGCTGGGATTTCTGGAGAATCATCTTCATTTCCCACTCAGCCACATCCTGATGTGTCTGAAAGGTACCTTTTTTAAATATACTATTCTTCACAGAAATGTAAATACATTGTGAATGAACACAGAGTTTTTTGGTCTTATCTTTGAAATTTTAGTTTTTATTACGTTGATTATTTTACTTATAAAAGTATGATGCAGGGGTGCCTGGGTGGCTCAGTCAGTTGAGTGTCCAACTTTAGCTCGGGTCATGATCTCACTGTTTGTAGGTTTGAGCCCCATGTCAGGTTTTGTGCCGTCAGCATGGAGCCTGCTTCAGATTTTCTGTCTTCTCTCTTTCTACCCCTCCCCTGCTTGCATGCATGCTGTCTCTCTCTCTGAAATAAACATTAAAAAAAATTATAATGCAGACTTCATAAAGCCTTTATCATAGCATCCTAAAATCTCAGTGTGGGAATTAAGACCTTGAAAACCATTTAGTTCAACTGTCCTGTGATGTTTTGAATCTCTTCTGTGATGTAATTGTCAAGTAGATTTGCCTTTGCAAATCACTCCCAATGATATAGTAGTTTCTATTGAACTAGTCTGTTCAGAACTTATTAAGAGTCATAACCAAGATTTGAATCTTAGCTCTGCCATTTTCTGGCTGTCTTACTTTAGGAAAGTTGTCTAATATTTCTGAGCATGTTTCTTTAATGTAGAATGGGAGCAGTAGGATATAATGTACATTAAGTGCTTTATACAATGCTTTCCAAACATATGAGTTATTTATAGTGACAACAATGATGATGGCAGCTCTCTATTCCTTTTATGAAGAAGGTTTTGAATGAGCTTCCTTTTGATTTATAGATTAGGTTAGCCGGAGCTTGGTAATAATCTTTCAGCTACCTAGATGCATTTGGCTCAAAGTTAAAAAACTCACTTATGTAAGTAAAAACAAACCATTAATTACCTAGATGGATCCATTCATCTTGAATATCTAAATAGATTTGGGGTTTTTAAAAAATTGTATCACCATCAAAGAACGAAGCTCATTCACCATTAAAATTATGAAGTGTGAAGTGGATTAGTATAGTCTAAAAATGTAATAGAACATTGACTAAGTTTGAAAACCTGGTCCCTTTCTGGTCTAGTTGTGCTTTGTGATTTTCAGCAGCCCATTTAACTTCCCTTTGTCTCAGATTTCTCACTAAAGCACTAAGCGCTCTGGCATTTCTGATATTCTGTGGTTTTAGGAATACTTTTCCCTTTTTTAATTCAAGACCTCTTAATGCAAGGGTCTTTGTATACCATGAAATTGTGTGCACAATGTTTTACTATTCTCTTTGGAAAGAAAGAGATGTCCCTTAATTTTTAGATAGGCTCTCTGACACCACCAGAAAAAAGGGAGAGGATAAAGTATTTAGGGATCAAGAGGATTCCTTAGTAAGACCAAATATTTTTGTCACTGAAGTGTTCTGAGGTATACCTTGATGTTTAAAAATATATATATTGGCTAAAACACTTTCACCTTCTGGATCTACTTTTTAAATCCTCTATTTCCTGTAGTTATTAACTATATGTACCAGGCCTCTTTAGAAACTAGTGTGTTAAACAGAACCAACTTGATGGGAGTAATTATCTATAGGACTAATTTTCCAAAGAAGAACATTGTTTAGAGTAGCGAAATTATAAGTCTACTTAAGTGTGTTGTAAAGCTGTTCAGGAGGTAACTTGGCAAGTTTTGTGAGTGAAAATGTAGTGCTCAAGTGCTTTAAAAGGTTATAACAAAGACAAATGAATTTTTAACAGTTTTGTGAAAATGTTTTATTTGGGGGAAGTTGAGTTCTAGATGACGGGGCAGTTCCAGAATGTAAAAACTTTAGGTATATACATGTCTGCTAGGAGATTCAAGGAAGGAAGGAGGTAGTTAACACTGATGACTTGAAGTCTTCTGTGATTTTCCCAGTGCATACTCAGGTGGCAGCTGTGGGGTGGTGAGCCTTTTCTAGAACACACAGAAGAGAATGGGAATATCACACAACATGTATTCTCTGTAATCCTGTGTTACGTTTCCTAATAAACTACTCTTTTCTCCTTGGGGCAGGGAGAGGGGAAAGAACCTGCTTTTGATACTACCTCAAAAAAGGTACAGTACAACTTTTTTTCCTAACTATATATTTCTACCTTAAATTTTAGCACGATGGATCGGGATAAAGTGGGCATCCCCACAGATGGTGATTCACATGCAATCACTTATCCACCTGCAATTGTCGTTTATATAATTGATCCTTTTACCTATGAAAATAAAGACGAGAGCACTAATTCTTCTAATGTATGGACTTTGGGGCTACTTCGATGCTTTCTGGAAATGGTCCAGACTCTTCCTCCTCATATTAAGAGTACTGTTTCTGTACAGGTAAGAATGGTAAATGTTGCAAATTAAATTTATATAAAACAATTTGATGTAGATAGAAGTTTCAAAAATACTATTCTGTATCCAAATTAATTTTTTTAAAAACCAGGTTCTATTATATTTTACTTGAAGTGATATTATGATAGAAATCTTCAGGAGTTTATGAAGATAAATTTTACAGTCATATCACATTAATAGAGGATAAAAAGATTGCATTTAAGTACATTAAATATTTCTCTTGTGTTGCTTTTATAAAGTAATTTTTAAATTCATATGCTTAAATAGAAGACTAGAGCATGGGCCTATATAATTTTTTTTTTTTTTTTTTTTACGTTTATTTTGTTGAGAGAGAGGGAGACACAGAATCTGAAGCAGGCTCCAGGCTCAGAGCTGTCAGCACAGACCCAACGTGGGGCTCAAACTCATGAACCACGAGATCATGACCTGAGCCAAAGTCGGACACCTAACCGACTGAGCCACCCAGACACCCCTAGAGTATGGGCCTATATAAACTAGAATTCTAAATAAGACAGATTTCAAGTAAAAGTAGTAAATAATGATATTAACTTTTTTACAGATATTTTGAATTATTTCTTTATAGACTGTAACAGAACTAATCAATGGCAGTATTAATATAGCTGCTGTGTAGAAATTTTAAAGTTTTTATATAACCTGTTAGTAAAATTATTAAAAACCTATGTAATAAAATATAATTCTTTAGATTATAGTTCTAATTAGGTTTTATTTAAATTTTCTGGTAAAAGTTTTTAGAGATTTAGACCCACAGTTCTTTTTATTTTTATTTTTACAAGTTTAACTCTGTAATATTTGCTTATAATTCTTAGATTGTTCCTTGTCAGTACCTGTTGCAACCTGTGAAGCACGAAGATAGACAAATATATACCCAGCATTTAAAATCCCTGGCTTTTTCGGCCTTTACCCAGTGTCGGAGACCACTTCCAACATCAACCAACGTGAAAACATTGACTGGCTTTGGTCCAGGTTTAGCCATGGAAACTGCTCTTAAAAGTCCTGATGTAAGTATGTTTTCTGTGACCAAAATTATTGAATGATTATACATTTTATGATTTTATACAAAACTAAGTACAATCCTCTGTTTATTTCTCATTTTCCAATTATCTTATAATTGAATAGAGATAACACATTTTCAGTAAAAGATTTTTAGGATTGCATAGTACCAATAGTACCTTAATTTTTTATTTTACAGAGACCAGAGTGTATTCGACTTTATACACCACCTTTTATTCTGGCTCCAGTGAAGGATAAACAGACAGAGCTAGGAGAAACATTTGGAGAAGCTGGACAGAAATACAATGTTCTTTTCGTGGGCTACTGTTTATCACATGATCAAAGATGGATTCTTGCATCTTGCACAGATCTATATGGAGAACTTTTAGAAACTTGTATCATTAACATCGATGTCCCGAATAGGTACTTCTGTTTCCTTAAGTGTATCATTAGATCATCCATTTAAAAATACTCTCACACACACACTATGTTTCATTATTAATGAATAGAAAAATAGAAAATTGGAAGGTTATATCATTAAGTTTTGGAATTGTGGGTGATATTCACTTTTTTTTTTGGTAGGTAATATATTGTATAATTTAGGAGTATTAGAAATAATTTTGAGAGGTGTCAGACTTCGGCTCAGGTCATGATCTACTGGTTCGTGGTTTGAGATCGAGCCCCGCATCGGGCTCTGTGCTAACAGCTCAGAGCCAGGAGCCTGCTTTGGATTCTGTGTCTCCCTCTCTCTCTGCCCCTCCCCCGCTCATGTTCTGTCTCTGTCTGAAAAAATAAATAAGCATTAAAAAAAATGGAAAGAAAATAATTTTGATTTTTGTTACATAGAAAAGAGTAAAGTACCTAAATTCTATGTAATAAGGCTTGACACAATGATTTTAGCCTAAAAAACTTTGAAGCATGGAATGAGAGAGCCTCTGCAATTAAAAAAAAAAAATCTAGTAAAGCATCCTAGGACATTTATTTCTCTCATGTGCCATCTAAAATATAGTCCCTAATTAACTGCATTAACTTCATTTACTAAAATTGTTGACTGAAATTTTTGCCTTTTAAATTAAATATTGGAGTGTCTTCTGAAAATGGTGGCCTTATTTTTTAGAATTCTTCTTGGTAGTAATTAGGTATCATGGCTAGTTATTTATGAAGGTTGTAAGTAATAGATCACAACAGGTAAGCCTAATATTAAGTTATAACTTAATAGACATTTCTAGTAATATATTTCAAGGCTAGTGAACATGGACTAAGAGAACCTGAAAGGCAAATCCATGAAGTAATTTTCAAAAAATTTTGAGGTTTGGTTCTATCCTTTATTATTTTTTTTATTATATAAAGGTTCAGTTTCTTTAAGTTCAGAAATTGGTTATATATAGAAATATTTGATGACTATTAGATTATAGTGATGCTGAAGAAATGAAATATAGAAACATTAATTTTATATTATTATAATGTTTTATTGGCTATTTTTAATAAACCTTAGAGAAGTACTTCATACCTTATTTCCTTGACACAGTTTTTATTATTTATTTATTTATTTTAAGTTTATTTACTTATTTTTGAGAAAGGGAGTGGGAGATGGGGCACAAATCGGGGAGGGGCAGAGAGAGGGAGAGAGATTCCCAAGCAGACTGCATTCTGTCAATGCAGAGCCCAGTGCAGGGCTCATACCCACGAACCATGAGATCATGACCTGAGCTAAAATCCAGAGTCAAACATTTAACCAACTGAGCCACCCAGGTGCCCCATAAGTTTGATTTTTTTTTAAATGCTAAGTTAGTGAGCTTTGGAAATAGTATGCTTATCTGTGAAGGTTGAGAAAGAGTAGAGAAAGAATAATATCACCTTTCCAGTACAAAGATAGTATTGCCATTTCACTGAAGTAGAAAGGTCCAACTCTAGAGTTTTAGAGATCTGGGTTCAAATCCCGACACTGCCACTTACTGGCTATGTGATCTTGAGAAAACTACTTTAGCCAGCTAAACTTCAGCTTCTCTGTAAAATTGGGAGAATAATTTTATCTGCCTCATAGGGTTGTTAGGCTGAAATGAGGTATAACATGTAAATTGCGCATAATGCTTGTTATGTGTTAAGTACTTAGTCAGTCATTGCTTAGCCAGAGAGTGCTTATGTTATGTACTTGCCTAATAAAGGACTTATATGCAGAAAACCCAACAGTGTTGTTTGGTCTGAGAAACATAGTGTTTTGTTTGATATTCTTCAACTTAAAGTATGAAGCAAGGGTTAGCAAACCACACAGCCTTTGGGCCAAATCTGATCACAACTGTGTGGTTAGGTATTCTGAAGGACTGCGTTCATGCTGCAGCAGCAGTTATTGTTGCAACAGAATCTTGATGGTCTGGCCTGCAAAGCTTAGTATATTGGCCCTTCAGAGAAAAAGTTTGACAATCTCTGGTGTAGAGCAGTGTTTCTGGTGAATTTTGATGATTCATGAACTATTTTTCATTTTAAAAGTTAAATATTTTAATGTCTTGGGGCGTCTGGGTGGCTCAGTCGGTTGAGTGACCAACTTCGGCTCAGGTCATGATCTCACGGTTTGTGAGTTCGAGCCCCGCATCAGGCTCTGTGCTGACAGCTCAGGGCCTGGAGCCTGCTTCAGATTCTGTGTCTCCCTCTCTCTCTGCCCCTCTCCCGCTCATGCTCTGTCTCTGTCTCGGAAATAAACATTTAAAAAAAAATTAAAATATTTTATTTTATTTTATTTTATTTAAAAAAAATTTTTTTTTTTCAACGTTTTATTATTTATTTTTGGGACAGAGAGAGACAGAGCATGAACGGGGGAGGGGCAGAGAGAGAGGGAGACACAGAATCGGAAACAGGCTCCAGGCTCTGAGCCATCAGCCCAGAGCCTGACGCGGGGCTCGAACTCCCGGACCGCGAGATCGTGACCTGGCTGAAGTCGGACGCTTAACCGACTGCGCCACCCAGGCGCCCCTAAAATATTTTAATGTGTATTATAAAAACACAAACTAGCATAACCTATGATTTTATGTATATTCTTGCTTAGGACTATGTAGAAAGTGTCAAGCATTAAAATTAAGGGACCAGTTTTTCACAAATTTGAGCTCTTTTAAAATGTCATATGAATTTTAGAAATATTTAATTGTCTCTTGTATTCTGTACAATAGGGCTCGTCGGAAAAAAGGATCTGCTAGAAGGTTTGGTTTACAGAAACTTTGGGAGTGGTGCTTAGGACTTGTACAGATGAGCTCATTACCATGGAGAGTTGTAATTGGCCGCTTAGGAAGGATTGGTCATGGAGAATTGAAAGGTAAAATTGTGCTTTTGATTGTTAATTCATACACTGTTCAGACTACATCTATGTAAGTGTACTGAATAAAATGCAGAGGTTATAAAACTAGTTGTTTTGTTTTCAAAGAGGAATCACAAATATCTAGTTCACAAATGGCCTAATTCCAATTTTGAAAGGACATTTTACTTTGTTTTGACTTAATGGCAGTGTTATTACTACTGTCCTTTTTTTTTGTCTTCCATTTTTTCCTCTTTTTGCCCATTATTGCAGCTCATCCCCTATTTAACAGATCAGTTGATGTTGACCTATATTAAAATGTATGATGTTGAGTAACGTCAGCAAGATTTTTGGTTTGATGATGATTCCTATTTGAGGAATGCAGTAACTTAAAAACCATTATGTTTTAACTTTGGTTCTACAGGGTGTTAACAATGCTGTTACTTTGGATGTTATATTTTTACTGTTGATACCCACAGATTGGAGCAGTTTGCTGAGTCGTCGAAACTTGCAGTCTCTAAGTAAAAGGCTCAAGGACATGTGTAGAATGTGTGGTATATCTGCTGCAGACTCTCCCAGCATTCTCAGTGCTTGCTTGGTAGCAATGGAACCCCAAGGCTCTTTTGTTATTATGCCAGGTTAGCTATCCTTAGCTTATATCCGATTTAATTCTTCATGCACTTGCACTTCTAAGTATCATAAAATTGATTCTTCTATTATTGAAAGAAAAAAAATTCTCTTTTCAGATTCTGTGTCAACTGGTTCTGTATTTGGAAGAAGTACTACTCTAAACATGCAGACATCTCAGCTAAATACCCCACAGGACACATCATGTACTCATATACTTGTGTTCCCTACTTCTGCTTCTGTGCAAGTAGCTTCAGCTACTTATACCACTGAAAATTTGGACTTAGCTTTTAATCCCAACAATGGTAGGTGAATTGTTCTTTAAAGGTTTGCAAATATAAAGTAAGTCTTGATGATTGTGGCTAATTCATCTGAAGAGTTCCTCCCCAAACCTATCTGCATCCTATAAATGTTTATGAAACCTGTGAATGTTACTTTATATGACCATAAAAGACTTTACATGTGTGATTAAGTTAAAGATCTTGAGATGAAGAGGTTATCCTGGGTAATGCAGGTGGGCCCTAAATGCAATCACATGTATCTTTACAAGAAGGAGGCAGAGGGACGTTTGCTTACACACAAAAAAGAAGAAGGCCATGTGATGGAAACAGAGGGAAGCAAAGTCAGAAATGATGCTATGCTGCTGACCTTGAAGATGAAAGAAGGGGCTATGAGCCAAGGAATGCAAGGAATATAGTTCTACATGCTGGAAAAGACAAGAAAAGCTTTCCCCTAGAGCCTCCAGAAAGAGAATAGACCTCCTGGTACCTTGATTTTGGCCTAATAACCAGTACTTTGATTTCAGCCCAGTAAAACTGATTTTGAATTTCTGGCCCCCAGAACTGTAGAGAATTAAGATATGTTTTTTTAAGTCATTAAGTGTGTGGTGGGGCACCTGGGTAGCTCAGTCAGTTGGGCATCTGACTTCAGCTCAGTCATGATCATGAGGTTCATGAGTTTAAGCCTCACATTGGGTTTGCAGCTATCAGCGCAGAGCCCACTTCAAATCCTCTGTCCCCCCTCTCTCTGCCCCTCCCCCACTTGCACTCTCTCAAAAATAAATAAAACATTAAAAAAAGTTTGTGGTAATTGGTTAAAGTAGCAATAAGAAACTAATACAACCATTCTTCTACTTTATTGATACTGGAACTAGTGCTATGAATTGTCTCAAAAATATTTACTTATTTTAAAAGGCAACATTGATCATAAGATGTTTGTATAGGTTTTTGCCTGTGCTGTTTACCTGTACATAGACAATAGACTTTGTGGCACATTTTATATTCCTTTATAAATTGATTTGCCAAAATAATACAGTAATTTATTTAAACTGCCATAGTAGGGATATAGCTTTTGTAGATGAACTTAATAGATTACATTTTAGTAGAAGAGAAAATAAATGATATTCCATTGTTTCCCTGAATTACCTTAGAACACGGCACATCTCTAAAGTCACAAGTAGGGAGTATTTAATATTCTCTTCTTTTAATGTGTTTTACAGTAACTTGAATATTTTATTTAATAAAGAACTAGAGTATTAATTGTGCATAGTCCCATTTTAAATATATTTTCATTCCAAGCATGCTGTTTTGTATTATTTTACTGTTGCTGTTGTAACAAATTAAGACATGCTTAGTATCTTTAAACAACACACATTTATTTTCTTATAGTTCTGGAGGTCAAAAGTCTGAAATCAGTCTTAAGTGGGCTAAAGTCAGGGTGTCTGCAAGGTTGATTCTGTCTGGAGGCTCTGAGAGAATCGGTTTCTTTGCCGACATCTAGAGACCACCTGCACCTCTTGTCTTCCATCTTCAGCAGCAGCAGCAGCATAGCATCATCATACGTCCTTCACTGACTCTAACCCTACTGCCTCCCTCTTACTAGGACCCTTGTGATTACATTGGACCCACCTGGATAATCCAGAATAATCTCCCCATCTCAAGATCCTTAGCTTGATCACATCTGCAAAGTTCTTTATGGTAACATATTCACACATTCCTGGGATTAGGATGTGGACATCTTTGGGGGAGGGCATTATTAAGACTACCACGTGCTTGTGTATAATGTATAGTTGTTTATATGGCTTCTAGAACAATACCTATCACATAGTAGGCATTAAATAGATGTTAATTAACCCATTTTGATTAAAATTCATTAATTTATTTTAACCCTCTTCTGCAAGTGACCACAGGATGTGAAAAATGGAATATTTTTTTTTTTTTTCTTTCTCCTATATAGATGGAGCGGATGGAATGGGTATCTTTGATTTGTTAGACACAGGAGATGATCTTGACCCTGATATCATTAATATTCTTCCTGCATCTCCAACGGGGTCTCCCGTACATTCTCCAGGATCTCATTACCCCCATGGAGGTGATGCTGGCAAGGTAACCCTGTTAAAAAACTTAATCTAAATGTCATTCATTAACTTAGTAATGAATTGATAAATAGAACACTATTTTTTCCTTGGAAATTAACAAGAAGTGAGAATTATAGTATCTGCATGCACTTTTGTCTTACAGATGTTAATACCTGAATCGCATATTTTTTCTTCGAATTCTTATTTAAATTCTAGTTAACATACAGTGCAGTATTGGTTTC